TAAACACTTTTTCCTCTTGTGTCATTTTTTTGTGTTCCTGCCTTAACCCGCCACTTTAGACCCTACATTCCTATACAAAAAATGCATGTTTTAGAATGCTCCACCACCCCTCCAAGTTTGTCCCATGATCTATGAAACATTCTGTAGATGATGTTTTCTATGGAAATGATTTCGTGGCACAGGCTTTTAAGTTAAACACTGGAGCCTATAGCAAGCTTAAAAATGCCATCATTTTAATACAAATTCAAAAGATCTCAAAAAACTTTGGGATGATAGTGGAATAATTAAGTAAGGAAAAGAACAAAATAACATTTTAAAAGTGTTAGAACTTAATTGGTGTAATTTCCTTAAACATAGATAACTTTGCAAAACATTAAATGATTATATTAGTCAAAAATACTATAAAATTAAATAAATATATAAAATTAAATTATAAATTAAACTATAAAGAAACACAACAAAAAGAAATATACTACAGGTAACTGCTATTATTTTCGATCCAGTAGGTTTCTTGGCACAATTTGCATTATGTGCAAAACTGATAATGCCAAACCTTTGGCAGCTGGGTTTAGAATCTGATGACAAGGTTCCAACCAAACATAAGCAATATAATCCGAGTGATGCGGTGAAATTGAGAAGATAAAGAAATTTGAAATTTTTTGTTGATATTTCCCAAGCAAATGCACTCAAAACGAAGATACCGAACTGCAATTATTCCATTATGCATCTATTGAGGTATATGGTGTAGTCATTTACTTTAGATCGGTTGAGGAAAGGTAGGTAGCATTCATTATAACAAAATCTAGAATTGCACCAATAAAACAAAAACTCACACTGCCAAGGCTACAGCTGTTAAGAGCATTAACATCGGCAAAGATTTGCAAAAAAATTAAAAGAACTATTCTCAATTTATGAAGAAAATATATATTTGTGGATTGACAGTATGATAATGGTTAAATGGATCCACAGAACTCCTGAACGTTGAAAAATGTAAGCAAAAAATCATGCATCAGAAATACAATCATTAACTTGCCCAAATAACTGGAGACATTGTAGTCCAATCCAGGAGACATTTTATCTCAAGGATGTTCAGCCGAATATATGTTGTCTTCAAAATTATGTCACTCTGGACCAGACTGGTCAGTTAAATCAGTGAGTGCTTGGCCTAGTAAATTTACTGTGACAATGGAATTTTCTTATGCTGAATTACAGCAGAAAAAGTGTATAAATGATACCACAATACTACCGTCTATTGGAGAAAAAAATCTAATCTTCCACTGAATCTCGGAAAATATAAAAAATTAATTAGAGCTATTAGACAAATCGCATAGATCTTTAGATTTATTCACAGTTTCAAAAATTAAACCGATAAGAAAACAGGACCCTTGCCTGCAGAAGAATTCTCCCACAGAATTGTATTCGATAAAAGAAATTCATGTGAATATTCAGTGGATTCAATATGAACATTTTCATGATGAAATTAATAGTTTAAAGTATGACAGTTGCTTTTGAAAAACTCTAAAATTTATGAACTGAATCTTTTTCCAAGTGAGGAAGGAGTGTTTTTATTAGGAGGAAGACTAAAAAAATCACCTTTACGTCTTCATGAACAACATCCTATAATTATTTCTTCAAGAAACTCAATTTACGGATCTTTTGGTATGTGATGCAAGCAAGCGAGTCCCTTGTCTCCCACCTTCATGCTGGTGTAGCTAATACACTCATGTTTCTCGTGAAAAATACTGGATAATTAGATCCAGAGAAAATGTGAAATGGGTTATAAGAATATAAACTGCGTTTTGTGCCAGCATTATAACTCCTGACCAATGACAAGTCATTGCACCATTTCCTTCGTATAGAATTGAAAAAAATACCTTCAATGTTATAGGCCTGGATTATGCGGTCAACTTTTCGCTAAAATTGAAGATATGAAGTATTATATCCTATTATTTACTCATGCAGTGACCAGAGGTGTTCATCTTGAACTAACAAACAATATCACAATAAATCTTTCCTACTTGCTTTTCGTCGATTTATATAAAGAAAAGGGTTGTGCTCTTTAATATACTCAGATAATGCTCATATGTTCAAGGCAGTTGACGTAGAGCGTAGAAAGATGTGGCAGGTATTAAGCCATCCTGATGTATAGAATTATGCTGCAAAGGGCATTCAGTGGAGGTAGGTCATTGAAAGAGGGTCATTGAAATGGGGTGGATTTTATGAGACTTGCATGATCCGCAGACACAATATTATGAAAATTCTTGGTTGAATATCACTGCTACTGAAAGAATTGGCAACTTTACTGACTGAAATTGAAGTGGTGATAAATCATCAACCCTTGCCTTACATCTAAGATAATAAGTTCTATCACCTGCTCATTTTCTGCTAGGACAGAAACCTGCTAATTTGCCTCCTTTCAAATAAATACACTCATGAAGCACTAAAGAAATTCTTTTAAAAGTACATCTATATCGTGAAAAACTATTAAATAACTTCTGGAAAAATTTCTATAAAGATTATTTGTTGAATCTGAAATTGTGAATTGTGTGAACAATGTCTGTTCAAAACAAGGACCTTGAACATGAATGATATCATGAAAATACATGATGAACATTTACACGTAACATGTGCAGACTGGGAGGTTCTGAAAACTTTTACTGGTAGAGATTGACTACTTCTTAGTTTTGAAATAAAGATTGAAAAAGAACATTATAAAGAGATTTTTACAGTTATTTAAGTTACGGTGCTAAATATATTAACATTGTGTAATAGAATATTACTTACTGAATACATAATTTTAATATTTCACATTATTTATACGTACATTTCATATTTAAAGTTGAAATTTATATATTAGAAAATTTTAAGGTTTTAGAAATATACAACTATGTTTAAAATTTAATTTTGGAAAAAAAAGGGGTAAAGTTTATGTTAATAATTCTAGTATTTTAGTTGGATTATTGAAATGTTACTTGTTTAATATTATCCTCAATTATAAAACTTCTTGATTAATTAAATTTCCTAATACTTGAAAAAAAAAAGTGCTGTAACTATAATCCTTGATATAAATGAAAGTTTGCTTGATAATCCTGAAACATATAGGAAGTTTTTAGTTGTTCTTAATGTTGAGTATTTGCATTTTGACATTTGCACGTATTCATGTTCGCTGCACTGTACCCATGCACACTCACTATAGTACGAGTATAAAAACTAAACTTTTCACTGAGATTCTCTTGCACCTGTACTTCACCGTTCCTGTGTGTTCGTGGTCAACGTCTGATGTTGGCTTATCACCATGTATTTAGTTGCGTATTTTAATTTTAAATAATGTTAATTTTATGTTTTGCTAAAGTTCTCGACCTTCCTTTAATGAATCTTCTGACAAATGTGGAATCTGGTGGCATAAACCATCACCACATTTGGTGACCTAAGAAGACTGCTGTAGTTATGTGTGGACAGAGTGAAGTACTCAAGGAAGTTGAATATTGAAATTCCATGGCAGCAGTATATATGCAAACAATTTTATTGTGGAGCTATGGAGGAGAAATATTCCTGTGAAACCTAGTTTGTCAGTGCTGACAGTGGATAATTTTTTTCCAAGTTATTGTATGTTTCAAAGTGCAGGTAGGACTTAATTACAGGAAATGATTTTTTTCTGTTAAATTAATGTGTACAGTATTCTTTTATGTCGTCTATATATATAATATTTATTTTCGTTGATATGTATTTTCATCCCAGAGTGTATCCCTCACAGGTACATATAAATGATAGGTTTTCTATCCTTTTACGCTGTGTTTTAGTATTAATATTTGTAATACTTATTTGTAGTTGATTAGTAATGCTGCATGTCCGCTGATGATATTGCAGCTGAAAGTGCAGCGGCTACACACACGTCGCATGTTTTGGTAAAATCACCACATTTTTGGAAAACAAATCCTGGTTTGTGAAAATGGAATCGCAGTTCTCCCTTTCCAACATAACTTCTGATTTAACAAAATTTAATCATGTTGTTGCTGCTATAGTGCTATAGTGCAGAGGATGTGCCTAAAACAGCTGTGACCACCCCATTTGGATTATTCGAGTTTCTTAGAATGCCACTTGGTTTACAAACATTCCAAACATTTATTCATCAAGTACTTGGTTTAGAGTTTTTATATTGATTACTACTTCGATGATTTACTTGAGGCTTCAGCATATGAAAATGAGAATGAAAACCACCTTCATTTGATTTTTGATAGACTGAAGAAATATGGCTTAAAGTTGAATCCTGTAAAATGTGTTCTTGGAAAGTCATTGGTATCATTTCTTGAAACTTTTTTGAAAAAACTTTTAAACTGATTGCTATACATCTTTCTTATTAACAAGATTCTGTATATTTAAATTAGTATTTTAATAGGAAATTCTGCTTTTACCCAAAATTTAGGGGATATACAGCAACATAAAACACAGAAATTAAAAATAAATACATAAGTAAGTAAAATAAATAATTCAAGATAATTACTACCGATAGTTCTCAGTACATCTATTCATACACTTTACATAGGCTTTTCTTTTTTCCCTCCCTTTAAAAACGGCATACACAATACAATAGTTAATCTTGATTTTTAAGGTAAAATATGTGAAAAAAAGTAAAGGAATTATTCAAGTTAATGTGACATATGAAATTTTATAGTAGCAATAGCCAAAAGTTTTCTTCTCGTTCTTCTTACTTATAATATTGATAATTATTACAAATTCTTTTAAAAGAACGGTTATTCCACAGTATGCAATCTATTGCTTTTAGTTTTTTAAATGGCCCTAAAATTGGTTGATGTTTTAGTCAATTCTTTTCTTGCTATATTATCGCATGTTCGAATTAAAAAATAATGTTTCAGTAGCATAATCTAACAACTAAATGACTAATTAAAAGCAGTAGATTTCATGTTGCATGATTACTCAAAGTTCATGCATTTACAATTAACATATTAACAATCATAACTGTAATGGGAAAATATACATACTAGCAATAAATTCTCTTTCATTTTCAGCCAGAAAAGCTCGACTTCGTTTATGATCATGGCCTACGTGTGTCTTCCAGTAGGTTACCCATACTTGTCCTGGATGTGCATCATATTCTGTAATAGCCATTGAAGCTGGGCAAGTAGCACCTATTTTATTACTGCCTTGAATTTTTAACATTTTTTTACCGGTTGCTATTGATCTTTGTAGACCAGATCTATGGCAATAATAGTACGTTCTGCTGCCTGATTTTATTCTTATAGCCGAAGATGCTCGAACATACCTGTCGCTGCTGGATTTTTCCACAAATGTTTTCCATGCTTTGAATTCTAAATTGAGGGATTAAAACTCATTAGATGTAAAATTACATACTAACAAACATTAATAAGTTACATATAGTTTGACCATACCAAGCGTGGAATATAGGATGCATGGATATGCAATAAGGACTTTTTCTGTTATCTTTTCTCTGTTTTATTTCACACAACATTTAAAAAGCACAGAGTTACCAAAAATTATTTATTAATAATCTAAGTTTATATGCAGATTATATGAATAATCATTTGTAATTAACTGTTTGATTATACTGTGCTTAATTTTGTACATTTGTTTATCTATTTATTTATATATTAGTAAAATGATATATATATTATAATTCAAATTATTTACTGCTGATATATATATTATTATTCAAATTACCATATTTGACGACATATAAGACGCACTTTTTTCTTAAATTTGGTCTCAAAAACATTACTTGCATCATAATTGTGAAGGACACAGGTTAACTTTCAATACTGAATGCTATTTTTAGCCCGGATAAAGCTGTAGACACAACAAAATAACTTTTTCTACATCTGCCATAATTATTTTGTGCATGCGTGAAATATCTGTCGCCTAAAAGCGCCAAAGCTCGAAGCTGATGTCGAAGTTCGACCAGGTTCAACGGTCACATTACGTCTATGGAGCATCCAACGGGTGTAATTGTTCATGTTCATCCGAAAGGCTGGATGTACGAAGCTGGAATGAAACTGTGGTTACAGAACGTATGGGCGAGGCGACCTGGTGGACTCAAGAAAACCCTCTCTTTTGGTTTAGCGCCCATAGAACTGAAACTATAAAGAATAAAGCAAGAGAATTAAAAACCCAGATAGCTGTCATTCCTGGTGGACTGACTAGCCAATTGCAGCCTTTAGATGTATCGGTGAATAAGCCATTTAAGGAAAAAGTGCGAGAATGATGGAACAAGTGGATAGGAGAGCCACATCACGAGCTCAAACCCTCAGGTAGAATGAAGTGGCCCTCTATTTCACAAGTGTGCAAGTAGGTAAAAAGATCTTGGGAGGACATAAAGGCTGAAGTAATTGTTAAGTCCTTTAAGAAGTGCGGAATCGGTAATGCTCTTGACAGAACAGAAGTGATGACGATATTCTTGTTTTTGATGACGATGGTAGTGAAAAGTATTTTTATGGTTTTGAAAGTGATTAAAGTCTAATTTTATGATAGACAACGTTTTCCTTGAATCTGTGTTTTTTGTTGTTTCTGCTTTATTTTGTATTATGTTTGATTGCTTGCCGTTCATTCATTTATTCATTATTGAAATATACATATCATGTTCAAAATAGCTTGCCGTTTGTTAATTTTCCTTAATAAAAATATTTTTGGTAATTGCATTCAATGATTGTTTATTTGGCTTTTAGAAAACTAGAGAACTAAAAGAAACCACATTTTAAGTTATTGTGGTACCGTGCTATCGCGTGGACTATTGAAACTTTTTTTCCTTGTGTGTGGTCTTCTAAATAAGGGTGTGTCTTATATGCCATCAAATACGGTATATATATATATATATATTGTAATATTTCATTATTCAACAAATAATTATACTTATTGTCCTTTATATTGGAGTGGCTATACCATATTTGTATCATGTAACCGTTGCTGAGCAACGTGAGAAAATGTTTGAAAAATTATTCTGAAAGTTTTACCAGTAGTAGATGCCTGAAAAATTTATAGAGAAAGAAACTGTAATAGTAAACTGAAGTGTGAAGCTGTAATGGATAGAATTATATTTAAATTATCTATCTTTGTGAATTGTAAATAAAACATGTTTTACTAAGAAGCTCATCTGTTATTTCTATAAAAACTGAAAATACATTACGATCTTATTAAACTGGAGGTTCCACCAAGATACTGGAAATTAGGAGTGTAATTATTGATTTCGATGGTTCTGGTCTCCTAATCCTAGAAAGCTGCTGAAATCCTGAGAAAAAGTTTGTTTTCATTAATGAATTTAAATCTCACTCGACTCCTACTGAATCGGAGTACCAACTGTCCACTTTGTTTACCTCAAGGAGGAACGGATGTCAGAAAACTGTCGTTTTAATGTCAGTTATTAAAGCGGATCATTCAAAGTTAATCTTCTGTATTTATATCACTTGTGTCCCAGTAAAGAATTGTCAAAACAGGATACTGCTGATCTCCGAAGATAAGATTAACTTTTAGCTTTCATAAAAAAAGTGTTTATTGAATTTTAGTACTATTTCCTTTCAGAATTATGTTTAAATGGTGTGAGCTTTTGTTTAATATAACTGACAACAAAAATATTAATCCCTAAATTTATAATTGATATTAGTGATAAAGAAGTATTTAAAACAAAATTATTATTTAGGCTTTACTATAATTTGTATTGAATTTTTTATGTTGATAACTGATATGTGCAAGTCATCCCCGTATTTATAAAAAAAAGAGAGAGAGAACTGCTAATTGTGTTTTTGAATTTATTGCCGAGCCGGCACGTGGAAAATAAGTAATAATGTCAAACTGACGTAGTGATTCTATTGTACTGCCAAACTGGCAAAAGTCTTTTCTTAGTTCCCGTCATCAGGCATGTGGTAGATAATAACGTAATCAAGACGTATTGCAATTAAATATTGCCGAACCATCAAAAGTTGTTTTTGCAATTTCCAACCATGTGTGATGATCGATAGTAAAATTGTCAAACTGACATGGGTATAATTTCATCATATTGCCCAACTGGCAAAGGTATTTATATAGTTATCGCGAACGAGGCTTGTGAATAGTGAGTTAAAACGTCAACCCGCTGTAGTATCATTTTATTTTGTTGCCAAACTCGCAAAGATGTTTAAATAATTCTTTCCAATTAGTCAGAGTGGGTTTCGTATTTGATAAGGGATATTTCACATTTTTTTTTAAATTAAAAAAGTGCATTATATATTTTTTGAGTTATTTACAGTGTTGCAATATTATATTTCAGGTTAATAATAACAGTTGTGCTGCATATTGCTATTGCATAATTTTATTGTTGTAAATTGCTTTATTGATGAATACTTATGAGAAAACTGAGTAAGTATATTTAGCGTTTTAGTATGAAAGTATTATCTAAAAGAGTTGACAAGTATATATTGCCAAGATTTATATATTTGTTAATACAAGTATGATTTTTAAGATTCAGTTTTAAAAGAAAGCCTATTAAAGATAATTTGTTCAACATGCCATTCTTAGTTAGAAGTAGAAAACAGGATTTAAGAGTACTGGTAGAAGAGTTAGGTTTAGCTGGGAGACCTGAATTTAAGATTGCTCAGTTGCATAAATTGATTACTGAAAGTCTGGGTTATGATGAGAAATTTACTTGAGAATTACTGGCTACAATTAGAGAAGAGCAAGACAAAACAGAAGAAAAAAAATGTGAAAGCGAAGAAAGAGAACATGAAACAGAAGAGCAAGAAGAAAGAGAGTGAATTAGAGTCTTTGAGCTTCAGAAACTTGAAATGGAAGCAATGACTGCAAGAGCACAGTCGGTAGAAACTACACAGTTACCTAAGCAGCCTTTGAAAATAAGAATTCATGATGTCATGCCACGTTTTAACCCTAAATAAGATGAAGGTTTATTTCTGGTTTTATCTGAGCGTCAAGCTAAAATTATGAATATACCTGCTGAAAACTAAGTGACTCAACTTATTCCATTGCTGCCTCCTAATACTGTTCAGCTTATTGCTAGAGAACCAAAAAGAGGATGGGAAAAAGTATGAATATGTAAAAACTTTACTGTTACAACAATTTAAATTAAGTGCGGAAAAATTTCGACAACTATTTAATAAACACCAAAAATGTTCTGAAAGTACTTGGTTTGATTTTTACTATGAATTAAAGAATTATTTAGAAGGATGGCTTAATGGATTAAACATTAAAACTTCTGAACAGCTAAAAGATCTTGTGCTGGCTGATTAAATTAAAAAGCGTACTTCTCTTGATTTTGAAGAGCATTTTATGGAAGAATGGACTAACTCATTTCTCCTACTGAGATGGCTAAGAAAATTCAAGATTTTGAAGATGTGAGAAAAACAATAAAATCAAAATTTTCTACCAATCAAACTGAGAGAATTGAGAAAGGATCATTTAAACCTCGTTACAAAATCTTGTGAAAATAATAGAGATTCCAACTCATTTTAAGCATTCTGATAAATGAAATGAAATACCAGATGAATGAAATACCAGAAAGATTACCGACAAAGAGAAGATGTCTGACAAAGAAATCAGTTCCAAAATAAGAATCAAAAAAATTTATATGACAAAAGACATCAATCCCGTTGTTCCGGGTGCGGGTCATACGAACATTTTAAGCCTTAAATTGCATATCTTCGAATGATGATTTGTTAGAGACATATACAGTTAACGGTATAGTTAATGGGTATGAAATGTCTATTCTTCGAGACACAGGAGCCACAGTAGATGTCACTTCTCAAAAATACATAGATAATGCAAAAATCACTGGAGTATTAATGCGCCATGTAAGGATTCAATTTCAAGAATTACCAAAACTGTATCTAAATAATCTCAAAAAAGAAAATCATCTGAAAAGAAATCAAATAAGTTTGTGAAACAAGAAAAACAGGATCTAGAAGATGAGTTTCAACCAAAGGCAAAAAAACCTCGTCATATTTGAAAAATCAGAATCTGATAATGAATCTAAAGAAGCACAAGATAAAACTTTAAGAAGTATTCATATACCTGAAGAATCTACCACTGTAATCATATAAGAGTGTGAGGATACCGAAAATTCAATTTCTCATATTCCTTCTGTTATACCCAAAGGCAAAAGTCGAATTTCGAAAATAGTTTAAGACATATCAAGATGAAGAAGGTTTTTCTTGTTACTAAAATTGAAAAGGAACTTTTTCTGCATCAGAAGATGAAGAAGACCCACTGAGTTAATTTCCAAAAAAAAACTGAAAAATGGTACTCTACCTCAGAAAAGGAATGCCTCGCCATAATATTTGTTGTAAAGAAATTGCAATTTTATTTAGATGGG